GCAAACAATTCATGAGGTATTGGACGGGGGCGAAGCTGGTGCTCGTATCTTCTTCGCAGACTTCTCAAAAGGTTTTGACCTAATTGACCACTCTATTTTAATACAAGAACTGTATAAGCTCCAGGTTCACCCTGCCTTGCTGTCCTGGATCTCAGCCTTTTTATTCAATCGTAGGCAGGCGGTTAGAATTGGTAGTGTCCTTTCTCAATGGCAAACTCTGAAGGGAGGAATACCCCAAGGGACTAAACTCGGAGTGGTACTTTTTATGGTCATGACAAATAGCTTACTGGCTAATTGGCATCTCCGTACAAAATTCGTGGATGATACTTCAGCCCTCGAGATTATTCCTAGGAACTCTATCAGCCTCCTTAATTTTGCAGTCTCTGATATACATGAATTTGCTAATGAACATAACATGAAGCTCAATCCTAAGAAGTGTAAGGAAATGCTTATAAACTTCCTACATAACCCCCAATTTCTTGCTCCGACCAATCCAAATTGGTAACAATATTATTGAGCGTGTGACAACGTATAAATCTTTGGGTGTCATTTTGAGTAGCGACCTAAAATGGAATCCCCATATCGAATACATTGATAAGAAGGCTAACAAAAAACTGTACCCTTTAAGAGTCCTGCGAAGAGCTGAGATTGACCAAAAGAATTTACTGAAAGTGTACATGTGCACAGTAAGACCGGTACTTGAGTACGCCGTCCCTATTTGGCAAAACATTCCGGATTATCTATCGAAGGAAATTGAGTCGGTCCAAAAACGAGCACTAAAGATAATTTTCTCGGAGAGCGAGTCATATGCGGAGGCCCTGAATTTTGCACAACTACCAACTTTAACCACAAGAAGAGTGCAAATATGTCAGAAATACATGGCCAGAATGAGGCGAGAAAACCATCCCTTATTGCCAATCCCTGTTGTTCCTGACCATGACATTAATTTGAGACAGAACACTGATCGATTTTATCTATTTAATAATGTTACTGATTGCAGAACAATTAAAGCTCAATCCTTTTTTACATTTAAATACTCTTAATATGTTGTTCCTGACCATGACATTAATTTGAGACAGAACACTGATCGATTTTATCTATTTAATAATGTTACTGATTGCAGAACAATTAAAGCTCAATCCTTTTTTACATTTAAATACTCTTAATATGTTAAGATTTTTTTTAATATATATGAAAATTGTAAATAATTATGCATGCACTATTTACTATTTTGGTAAATGCCTAATGATTTTAACTCTTGTAAATAGCCTAGATTCTAAAGCATATCCATGTACTATTTTATAACATATTCTTATCTATTGTAAAGTACTCGTTAATTCAGTTGTTTCTGTAACTGCAAGAGAGTCCTAATAAACTATTATTATTATTATTATTATTATTATAATAAAGATGATAATAATTAAGCAGAAAAAAGTACCCAAAAAAGGAATTTTATGAAAATAATCCATTTTTCGTTTTTATATGACCATTGAGACTAAAACTAATATATATTCACAAAAATAAAGTATATACTAGCATGTTTCCTTCAAATTTTATTTTATAAGTGAAAAAAAAACACTGGTATTCTGTGGTACTATGATATTTGTGGTATATACACCTGTAAATACGATGGTCTGGAATCCCGGGAAACTTCAAGGCCACAAAATAGAAGAGTAGAAGACCTTAATTTGTTTGATGTTGAACTGTACCTCACCGTGCACAAATCCTTTGTCTCAACTTCATTAACTATTATTTGTCATGGCTGCACATTTCATCTCGGCTATCCCTTAAAGTGGAAGTCAAGTCCGTTCATGCACATCGGTTCTGCTCATAACAATGTGAGGGCCCTCTAATGTAAACATTGCCCAAATTTTGAATGTTTCGAATTTTTCTGAACATAAACTCTAAATTTCATATTCATTTAGAAGCATAGCAAACCAAAATAGAGTTAGATATTCAGACAGTACATCATATTTTTAAAAAATACAGCAGTTCAAAATACAAACGAGCCATTTGTTTACATATGGACTTGACTTCCACTTTAATTATACCAAAATACAATGAGCTCAATCATTGTGACCGTGCACATATTAACATAAACGGAGACAACAACATATAACAAACACTTCTATTTAGTTTCCAGACTAGCATATCTTGATAGACTATGACATAACTTAGCACAAATCAAAATCAGAAAAAATCATTATGGGCAAGTAGAAGTTGCTTCTGGGTTGCCCAATTAATGGACTAGTTGTTTTGCCAGAAATTAATTGCTACACAAAACTGTTTGCTTGTTTATGTGTAATATGCGTTCTGTTTTATATTCTTTGTTAGTAAATCAGCTGAAATCAACTCTTCATAATTATAAATTCTTCAAATGACTTTGTTAAGGAAAACATAAGATTAGAATGCTAGCTAGCCTGGTTAATCAATCCTTACTGCAAACACTTGCTTCACATTTTGCTAATATGTGAGGCAGTGAGGTCAAATAGGAACCACAGATTAAGACCCCTGAGTCCTGACAAGGTCAAAACTCACCCATTGTCAGGCTTTTAGCCAGGATCCTAAAAGAGGGCATCCAATTTTGGTATAACAATACAGCCACAGTAGTGTTTGAGAAAATGTTCCTCTGGAAAACCTTTGAAGTTTACATTACTTCATGTCAGTATCTGTTCCAAGATCATTCGAAATTGGCTTTGTGAGTTTGTGCCGCTATGCTTCTTTACTTATGACATTTTCATTCAGCCGGTACACCATCAAATTAATCAAAATGTCAAATGTATAGTAATAATGAGAATTGAAGCTATTTCATTTCAGATATATTAAATATACTTACGGAAATAATTGAAAATAATTTCCCTTTTCCCCTAGCTTGCGAACAGGCTGTCAAGGTGAAATGAGAGCCTGCATCGATGACTAATGAATTTGAATATCTGCGTCTCAAATCGTGACGCGAAATTCTCATTGGTCAGATGCTATAATTTATATGTTTCCGCTGAGCTCTATCTATGTCAATTGCTGAAGCACTATGCATAAAAAACACATTAACTGATCAAATTGGTCTTGGCCATCTCATCTCAAAGCACAAAATGTTTTGTTTTGAGAAAACAGTGTTTGAAACATTTAAACTTTTGCTTGAATATCTTATATTTCGAAAAACAGTATAAACTGTACGGTCTAAGTTTAGTTTGCACGGTCTAAATTTAGTTTGCAAGAAAGTTGTAAACAACACCATATATAAGGATAGACATTCCTTATTTGGAAAAACTAACGTTATGGGGCAGATATTCAAATTCATTAGTCATCGATGCTGGCTCTCATTTCACCTTGAGAGCCTGTTTGCAGGCTACTTTTCCCCCAGAATTTGGGCGTCCATTTTTCATTCTGCCTAAAAGCCTGCCCATTGTGCTGATTGTGGAATATTTTCATTGGACAACCGCAATATCGAACACACAGTCGTGATGCTATATTATTAAATTTTCAGAATATGTCAATATCGGTTGCACAATTTCAAACTTTCATGTCAGATGATCATAAAGTTCAGATCATTCCAAGCAACTCACAAATCTCAAATTGCAAACAGAAATCGTTAATCGTTATTATACACATATATATTACTAACCATAATCTCCAGGTTAAGGAAGTAAAGTCTGGGATAATTTGAAGCTTTCTCCTTTTCGGTCCATCATTATTTTCCATATTTTCCAAACTAGAAGTCTCAGCTGAGGGAGCTGATTCGCTGGCAGAACACCTTTTTTCCGCCATTTTGTTTCATTCAACACTTTGCGCATGCTCAAGACAGTTCAAACCAAAGTCGTATCAGCCAAATCAGGCGTGTTTAAAAAAGCCAAAAAAGCCAACATTTTGTACAACATACCAAATAAAATGATAAGAAACTCAGAGATGGCTCCAGAGTTTTCGATGTTCTGTTTACTAGGACCAGACACCCACGCCCCCCTTAAATCTAGTGATTAAAAAAGACAAAACTGTTTTGACTACTACGCTGCTTCAAACAATATTTGAACTTGCACGCGTCGGCAATTATAGAGTCCCAATTATAGGATATTGTTTTCATAGTCGGTAAAACATGAATGGGGCAACTGCCCTCCCCCCAGAGAAGACTATATTTACGATTTTTAGAATGCCATTATTAA